TCTGTACCCCGGATGGCGATTGAAGATGTCGATCAGAATGAAAGTGATTAAATGAAGGGGTATGATTGGTTTTACCCTTTCTGGCAATAGGACAGGTGTTAAGATGTTAAACCACCGAACAGAAATCTTTTGCAAGGAATCCTGTCTGCATTAACCACACGTACTTGTGGGGATCATGCACACAAAACACATGCTCTGAGGACGACCGCTTGTGTTGCGATCGAAACGTCGTGATATATTACTTAAATTTTTCTACCTAGGTGACTTTACCGAAAGAACCAAAGAGTATGCTCTGATAATATATGCGTTGTATTTTTTTTACTGAAAGGTCTCATATTAAAGGGGTGGGATGGTGGCAAGTTGGAGTGGGTTTTTTTTATTTGAAAAGCATCATAGCAATGTGCCTGAAGAATCAAATGTTTAATCAGTGAGTGCTCCCTGCTTTTGGCATGTGGCTCAGAAGCACGGTCAAGAGCAAAAACAGAACAACAACAAAAATGGAACAAAATGTGCGCAAAGCGTGGACAGAGATGCATGCTTAGGATCGCACTGAGAAGATATAAAGATGAGCGCGTGGATTCGAGCATTTTACGCAGGTCTAGAAACACAATTCGAACCGTGAAGAAAAGTAAATGTGCTTGTGCAAGACGCGTCACAGCTAGCAGGGGAACGATGGCCCTACGATCAATAAAAATAAACACAGCGGCGGCAAGGAAAGGAACGCGTCCGGGAGGCCATCGACCAAGGAGATGGAGCGTTGAAGTCAGTTCGTGTGCAAGGTGCTGGGCGTCGTGACGGCTTCAAGCCAGCAGTGGATTGCCCGTGGCTTACGGTGATGATGGTGCGGGCGCGCTTGGCCTCTAGCTGGGACAGCCGCAGCCTCCCCACCCACGACCTTTGGCCAAGAGGCTCGTGCTCCCAACGTATCTCCGGACGAATCGCCCGTAGCGGCCGCTGCCGCCCCCCCCCGCCCCCCCGTGATGGGAAGTGTTTTGGCAGCTTTTGCCGTCTCATGTTGACACCAATTTTGTAAAAGTAAACAAACAATAATTACGCAACAATCGGCCAGACCTTTAACTCCAAAGAGCAATTAAAGCCCTCAGTGGTGGGTTAATTGTAGCCCAAAACCTAAGATGATCGTTTCATTAAATTGTTTTTGAGGGATAAGTAAAGCAATTATGTTGGTGGTTTATTTGTCTGATGAAGGAAATGTCGGGCATTGCAGCCGTCCATGCTGTGCAGTTATGTTACCTAAGGACTGTAATAAGAAGTCATTAAAAAATATATATTAGAGTTATAAGGCAAATTAAGAGGCAAAACTCCAGTACTGTGGATGTGCATCTCCCAATAAAATAAACGTGCCGAATGATCAACGATTACCTGCACATTAAGTTTGAATAAAACGATGATATAGGCGACGTCACGCCAGAATAACAAATTTAGCCAATTGCTTTTAAACCATTGAATACAGAATTTTAATACAAAGAGAAAGATCTCCGTGTAGCCTTTAGAAGACTGTTGAGACAAGAAGTGGTGTTGGTGAGCATCTATGAAGGCCGACATGGCACACGAGGGGCTGGGTGGCCAAAAACCACGCCTGGTCGACTTTGTCACCCGAGTGACGGTGTTTACACACTGCACCAGGTACTAATTTAAGGCTGAGTCGGCCTAGGGGATGCCCAGGACCAAGTTTAAATGTTCAGCTACTGTTATTGGTCATTGAACTTGGGTCGCCAGGTTCGTAGAGCAGTGACCAACTGCTGCTGCACAGACAGGCAGCTATGTATAGTTTGAACTTTAATCAGGAATACTGACATGATGTAATACTTAGCACAGGAGATCACCAGTTTTATCTCAAATTGTGGAAACAATGGTGCAATTTTATTTCATCCCCCCACCTCTGTCCACCCAACAGTTTAAATGGGCACAGCACTGTTAGTCGATCAGCAGGCTCACTTGTGGTCCGGTGAAGTGGGAGTTCCCGCCTACTCTTCCAGAACATCTGGCCAGTGTGGAAGAGTAGGCCAAAATACAATCTAGACAGAGCTCACACCACCAGCAGTGTGCGTGAGCGTGCAGTTGCAGGCCTGCACTTTTACCGTTTTAACTTTTTAGTGTCTAGTTTTGTTAACGGTGGTACTTAAGCAGGTCATAGCAGTGCAGTTTGTACCATGCGCATGTTCGTGCTTGAGTCCATGGGAAGCTCATGGAGGTAATTTGGTGGTTGAAAACGCATGGCTGGTACAAAAAACAACATTAATAATACAAAGAAACGTGGGCCAATTTTGGCCTATCTTTAATAAATATTACAGCAGGAATCAAACTAACAGCAAGTCTGAGTTTGTCTTCTGTAATAAGGACTTTTGTTTATTTGTTTATCCCGAAGACTTCTCTGGGGCTAAAAACCCCTTTTGTTACATCTGCCTGACTTTCGTTTGTTTGCTGCACATTATTTTTCGATGGAAATAATGAAATAGGAAAGCGTTTAAAAGTGCAGTTTTTGTTCCATATTTTAGCTTTGTTGTAAAGCAATGCTTAGTGTAATGTCTTTTTCATTTCGAAGAGATATATTGAGTTTGACCTTGGAGCAGCAAACCTACCCTTTGTAAATTGTGAATATCTGAGGTTGGAGTCGTGACATTTTCATGCGAACCCCGGCATTTTTTTTTACCCAGAATGATATAAACCTTAGAATTGAATACATAAAAAATAAATGATTAAAGTTACATTTCAACCTTCTCAATAACTTTGACGCTTGCTTCTAAAAAGAGTTGAAAATGTAATTACCGTGACCAATTATCCAATGTAAGAAACAAATTATTACAATTAAAGTTTAAATTGCTCGTAAATTTGCAATTCCTGGCATTGCAATTACCTCGAGCCTCGTGCATTTTGCGAATGTTCTGTGACATCTTTGACGGAATTTTTATCTTTTCGGTGAACATTAACGTGAAGTATATCTCGGCCTACGCCAAAGTGCCACCGCGCAGGAACCCATTGCGCCCGCGTGTTTAAAATCGGTTTAAATGTGCATCGTTTGCCTCTTGCCCTCTTTAAAAGTACACCCACTTTTTCCATTTTACAGCAACACTTTAGCTAAATGGTGAGATGAGAAGTACTTATTGGGCCCGTGAAAAGCGACACCTGAGCCCAAAGACTCTTTTTTTTACGGCAGGGTCCTGCATGGGGACGTTTTTTCAACACCCAAGTAGCCTGGTTTGTTTTAGTTATGGTTCAGTGGCAGTTCAGGTTATTTTTAAGTACCCTGTGAGCTAAGAATTTCTTAAGTCTTAAGTCCGGGTTTCATCAAGATAAACCAGACTGTTTCCGGGACAGACATGACACATTAGAGAAAATAAATGAATACGTTTAAAAAGGTAAGAAATTATATAATTTCAAATATAAAGTGTATCTTTAAAATTTCTGAGCTAAGTAAGGAATTCAAAAAAGGGCAAAGTTAGGCATAAAAAGTGCCAATGGGAAATAACCCACACAGAACAGGAGGGATACCAAACACAAATCAACATAGAAAGGCACCACAGTCAGGAATCCAATTCAGGCGCTTAGTTTGTGTGAGGCACACATTTAACCACGGGCGCCTCCCTGCCCCCCGAATGGCAAAACTACGCGTCGTGCTATTCCATTCGAAGTCCGTGCCAACCTGCGATGACATGTCACGGGTTTGGATACAACAAGCGGAATGCGTCGGGGGGGATGTTACGCTGCCACAACGTGGAGCATCAATAAAACCTTCGCTTAAAATTGACGCATCGATTGACAGAGGCATTAAAGCGCGCATTTCCAGGGGCGTAGCCTCTTGAGCACATGTACACAGACGCCCACCGCCCACAGCAGTCCGCTTGCACGTGCCGCTTTGCCGGCTTTATCGAGCAGTGGCGGGGGGCATCGCACGTGCTACCGGCTAAGCGTTGCGTGCGAGCCTTTAAAGGCCCCTGATTAATGGGGGGGGGAGGGGGGCCTATTGACATCGCGCAAACTACGACCGCCACCTCCGCTGCCTCCACGCCCGCTCCCTCGTCCACCTACGATTCATATTTTTTTGCCAGGCTTGCTGTGCGCTTGATCACGGCTAATTGACGGTGTGGATGGATTTAGAGCGTGCGGGGAGGTGGGGGAGAGATGTTCGGTTCTCCGACACCGCTGCCAGGGTGCCGCGCGCTGTGCGCCTTGTCCCGGGTCACGAGTTGTTGCGGTAGAATGTTTGGTTTGGTTCGGTGACAATGCTAAAGTTGTTCTCTTTTCGTCATTGTCATCATCCGTCTCGGTTGATCCACTGCTGGATCAAGGCCTCCCCAAGCCACCGCGGCTGCCACCACCTCTCACGATTCGATGCTGCGATGTGTAACCAGTCGCCTCGCGCCTCTACGCGAGAAAATCTCAGTTTAGTTATATTTTCTTTACTTCAAATACTTAGCTGTGAGCAGGGCTGAGATGCATCGTCGTCTTGATCTTGCATTCAGAGTGCATTCTAGGCACGGTCGAGTTTTCGGAGAGAGAAAAAAATCCGATGTTGAATTTTTAACGATAACTTTAAATCTATTTTCGGATCATTTACACTATGCAATAATTTAACTTGTCGTTGTGCTTGCACAAGTTGCATTACCTAATGCCACGTGATTCTTTTTCATGGGAAATGCTTGAAGGAAACATCTCAGCGATACACTCTGCTGCTCTTCACGCAGTTGTCTGGCTTAATCACCTGAATGTGAAATTGTAGTTGATGCTCTGCAGCTACGTCAGCAGCCGTACGAAAGAAGAAGAAGATGGAAAAAGCATGGAAAACAGCGCAATATTTGTGACATCATGCGTCCCGATGAATCTGAAACAAAATTTTGGATGAACCGAAATCTGTATATCTAGGTCTGATTTTGTCAGAATAATCTCATCATCGTGGAAAACATTTCTAATTCCCGGTGATATCACAGGGTCACGGCTGACACCTACGCACGCACGCGCTCGCGACTGTCACCCCCCCACAGACGGCCTGAGCGACTGCGTGGACCCGGACTGCTGCCTGCAGCACGTGTGCCGAGCGGACGGCCTCTGCCAGGGCTCGCCTGACCCCGAGGAGCTGCTTGCCGCACAACGTGCAGCCGCCGAGCCAGAGGGCCAACCCGCAGGCCTTCCCGACCTTCTTCCAGAGCACGCATTTCCTGGTCGGCAGGGACCGAGCCCACGTGGTGCCGGGAGATAACCCTTTCAACAGACGGTGAGTAACACCACCTCCATCATCATCGTCATCATCAGTCGCTTGCCCCTGGCTGGAGTGTAGCAGTCCTCACGAGATGCCGCCAGGTGACCGTGTCCTGATCGCGCGGCCACACTAAACACAGTCCAAGGCCGTGGTGCTTGACATCGCCCTCCGATTAGCATGGTTTGGCGACATACGGTGCGGTAGAAATCTACGTGCATACCATAGCAGCAAGCGTCCACGTCAATGTGGTCTGCCCCGAGGTCGGCTCGAGTCCCGTGGGAGGCCGTTGATGGTGGTGTGTGCAGGCCCTCGTACGATCGGCCACAGCGTCCGCCACCGCATCCTTCACATCTGCGCAAAACGTCCCTCAAATATGTATTCGAATCAGTTTTGTGTCCTTCGAATGTGAAGCCGGAGTCTGCCGTTCCCCTTCGTGCGAAGTCTTTCCACCAATGTTGAGCGGCGAGTCTACCAGGCTGACTGTTTCGACCCATCCCTATTTGCGTTCGACCGCCAGACTGTGGCTCAAAAACACTTCTCTCTTTGCTTCGTCCCGCACACTGATCCCCCTATCTATCGTCTTCTCTCCCGAGTTATTGTAACATTGTTCAATTCTGAACAAAGGTATGTGTGTACGTACGTATGTTTGCTTCTTTGCACCTGGTGTAAACATTGTATTTGTTTTGATTTAAAGCTTTCGTGACTGCAGGGATTCATCTTCTTGGTTCTTTCGGTAAAGTCACGTAGAAGGGAAGTAAACGTCGTGAGAATAATATTATTATGTTTTATTTTTATTATTTTATTACTTCCCTTCTACGTGACTTTACCGAAAGAATCAAGAACATTGTATTTGTCTAAACATCAACACCGGGGGAGACAGAAGTGGCTGTAGCATGTTGTTGTCCAAACCACGCCTCGTGTACCACGCATTCCTTGAGAATAATAGATGTTCGCCAACAGCACTTGCCCCAGCAGTCTGTTAAGGCTATACGGGGGGGACGGGGTCTTTGTCTGTGTCTTTGTATACAATATGTACAGGTGTAACTATGTGACTACTAATACGCACCTGTGTATAAGCACACCGTAATTATCAAGGTAATATACATGTTCACAGATATAAATGTATATTGTAAATCGTGCTATATTATCTACACAATAGATTTATAACATTAGAATTGGGGTTATTTAATTAAATATACAGCTTTTTTTTTCCCCTTAGCGGTCCGCATTATTTGTTCAGAACTGCAATGCAATTACGTGCCCTCAAGGTCAGTTTTAATTGTATTTTTATAAACTTCAATGTGTGCTGTTAATCAGCTGCTTTTCCTTTGTAAAAAAAAAAATGCCTGCAGCATCGTGTGAATTGTTAATCAATAGTGGCAAGTGTTATGCCAGTCTAAACAAAATGTATTTTATTAACGCCTTAGCAGCTGGATTTTTCCAATATCGAGAGGCCGATTGTGTAATCGACTCATCTGGTTTGTCAGTACAGTCTTGAGTAACGTACGACTGCCCGTATGTGAATCGCCTTTGTGGAACGTGGCTTGTGCACATCTGAAGCAACGTAAACACACAATCGTGCTGTGTCTACATGTTTAGCATCACTACGTGAAACGAGAGAAAAGGCTAGGCCTCTCTCTCTCTCCAACTTCTCCCCGGTTGTGCCGCATGTTGCCGCACATGGTTGCCAACCTGTAAAAAAAACTTACACGGTTAAACAACATTTGTACGTACACACACATTAAATCGCGTGATATATTTACGTAAAAAAACACGTATGACATTGCGTTTCCACACTTTTCATCGCTACCTTTATTCTGAATCAAAGCAAGGGGTTAAATTCTGTCTCGATTCAACAGTAACAATCAATCGGTCAGCTTTCCCCGCGGGTATCGCGAGGCTTCAAGCGTCACCTGACCGCCACGAAATGCGATCTCGCTCCTCGATTATCATTTCACTTTCGGCGTTGTTCAGCCGGGTCTCCGGGCCTTCTCACCACACAAGGTCACACGGCCACGCACAGCTCGCCAACGGCAGCTCCTGACCCGAAACGTGGACCACGGTGAACGTAAAGTGCCGAGTCAGAATATTTATTTATGCTGGAGAGGAATCTGATGAGCTTGCAAGGCTTCTTTTGTCACATATGTCCAGAAGGGGCACGGTGTCAAGAACGTTTCAACAACAACAAATGCAAAAAGCACGATTGGAGTGCAAAGTATGGGAAAGGTAAACGGATCGCTTTGAAAATATAGACCTGAAACTAAAATTTAGTTGCAGTCAGACCCCCCCCCAAGGATGCCACATTATAGTGGTTTAGCAGCACACCAGGCTTGTCGTACCAAGGTCGCCGGTTCAATTCTATCTCTCAGTGCGGCCGTTGAAGCAATACTCCTAGGTTCTTTCGGTAAAGTCACGTAGGTAAAAATAAAACAAATAATAAAAATAATATAGAAATAATAATAGAAATAAAATAATGAATGAAGCAATGGTGCAAGCATCTTAACCCCCCCCCCCCCATTCTCTGTCCACTCAGCGGTGTGAATGGCTACATCACAGTCAGTCGGTGGCAGGTCACACGTGTGGTGGAGTAACAGCGTGGGGTACTCCCACCGCTCTCCCAACATGGCCAAGTGTTGTGGAGCTACTCAGATGCCCTCTGGAAGAAGTCCCTGGAGAGCCCCCCCCCCCCCCCCCACCATAGTGGAGGTGCTTCCGCCAGCAGTGGTGTGAGCAAGCGATTCCAGGGCTGTACATTTACCTACTTAAGCACAGTTCTGATATAAGCAACACATGCCGGCATTGTACTGGTGAGGGGTTGGCGGGGGTGGGAAGGCTCGGGGCAGCGCTGGATACAAACACACCTGGACTCTTATGCCAAGGGTTGCCCTAATAGCCGGCTTCTACTCTTGCCTCTCATTTTCCAGAAGGACTTTCTGGGGCAATTTGGCAGCACCCATGAAAGTAGTGGCTGCTTGGGCCCCCTTTAGCCGTGAAAGGCTACTGGCTGATGCAGGCTGTTGTCTCTGACTGTCATGCAAGACGAGAGACGCTAATGCCCAGTTGGTTAGCACGTGAGCACTCAGCATGACAATTTGGGTCTCGGCTGCCAGGAGGAAAGGATGATGGAGGTATTGTGGTCATAGCCCTGGTAACTTTGGACTGTCAGGTTCACTTAGAGTCAGTGCTTTCACTAGGATGCTCTATTTTGAAAGCCAATCTCATGTTCTAGCGTCGTGCGGCTGTCAGGGACCGCCTGCATATGCCGGCCTGCACAGGGGACATTAAAACGGTGACCTTTATACCATAGACAGTAGAGACCTGTTGTTGACATGCCTCTCAAGGGAACGGCATTGAACGCAAGTGTCATGGATAAATTATTATTATGCCTTTTGCATGACAACACACAGTGTGGTACGATGTACTCAACAAATCTGCTGCAATCTGGGAGAGGGCGGATCTGAAATGTGGCCTTTGTAGAATAGTGACCAATTTCTATTCGCCAGGCCATCAGTTTCCCACAAGCATAATTAACACACACAAAACAAGCTCAACATGTCTATCATTAACACTGCCTCTGTGCTATGAAGTAGGGCCATAGCATAGCATGTTGCTGATTAGTTATATTTTTTCTTTCTTTTTAAGGCAGCGTTCTTGACGAATTTGTAGAGTTTCACCACAGTTGTCATGTGGTCTGGTTGCTTTAAAAAAAAAAACATTTGCATGGACACATACCAGATTTAAAACGGTGCACGGCCGGTTTGTGGCCACCTCCATCTTCACAAAACGGAGAATGAAAGATGCGCACCCCCCCCCCTATCCCCTAGTCGCGAACACGGTCGAAGTGCGATCCGATCGTCACTGCAACAGACCACTGCTCATTATCCGGAGGCCACGGATACTGCACATCAAGTGACGCCCGATGCCGACGAATGGATTGCGAGGCTATAAATGTTGTTCAAGTTGCTTTTAAAATACCACGCAAAAGGAAATGATTGGAGAAGGCTGAACCGGGGTTTGTTGTTTGCTGAGAATCCTGCTTAAAACCCTTCGGGTCCTCTCACCAAATCGCCGTTGGAATCGCACACTCTGCGATTTTTATAAAGTCACGGCAACGGGAAGGCGACGGGCGTAAAGACAGGAGCGCAGGCTCGCTTAGCATGAAGCAAATTCAAGTGAAACTCTGGCAGGCAGGGAACACTCGAGTGAGCGTTACCGGCACTCAGATTAATTCGGCCGCAGCTACGCCACCTCGAGCGCTAATGCCTGGGAATGCGAGGCAGTTGAATACTGAGTCGAAACGCTAAAGTAACGGCAAATGCAATTACCTTCATTTTTTTTGGCCGTGCTGCATTCTTCCTAAAAGAATCTGCAGATATGGTTAGCCCCGGTTGGGGGGGGGGAAGGGGGGATATGCGTGTACATGTAATCATCGGAACATCGATGGCTTCACCTTCGTGAATGCGGGTTAACTGTTGGCGCTTAGTTTGCGCGCGATGATGAATGTTGAACCGCTGCATTATGTTCGTTAGGAGAATGTATTGAAAGTGTTCGTATCTGCTGACTCATCCGGTGGGAGTGATGTGATGAGTGCTGACTTTTACATTATCTCCTGAGGAAAGGTCAAAGAGGACTTTTCTCCAAAGCGTCATTTGTTTTATATTGAATGAGGCCACTGTGAATTGCCATGATAATGTAATGTACTTCACTTCTTGGGGGTATGAATTTTTCAATTTTCATGGAGAATCTCCGAAAATCAATGGAAAGTCCCTCTACGGGCGTACATGTCTGGCTGAAGGCTGCTGGGTCAGTTGACTGGCAGGTAGCCATGCCTTGGCCGGTGAATGCCATCGCTAATGAAAGCCTATGAATGGAAAATTAAACAGAGCAACGTTGTGAAATTGCTGCTAACGTTTTAAGGGGGGAAATTCTACCCACGTTGAACGATTCAAAACGATGGGCTCATCAGCACACATTTGACATCTTGAAGAAACAATATTATATATTTGAAAGAATTT